GGGTGTATATCATGCATTAGTGACGGCTTTGTAATCCATAATATGTTTTAGTGTGAGTGATATATTATACAACTCATATATAATATGAGTTTAGTGCATAAAGTCAAGCTCAGAGCTCACTCTCACCACCTCTGCCAGCTAATGGGGCCTCTAACACATGTGACTTCAATGTTCTACGTATTACTTTATTTCATATCGAATGATATCTGTTTAATTATTCTTCTCATTGTTGTTGTTATCACCATTCTCTCTCCCATTGTCACAGGTTGTGGGGCGAGTTGGCTGAGGTTATTGTTGTTGTAATGTCCTTTAACTGCTGCAACATGTGTCTGAAGGAATATTGGAGAAAAAGACATGTCCGTTTACAAACTCTACTAATTCAAGTCTCTGGGCTTTGGACTGGCTTGAGCCTGTTTATGCAGAAGTGTTTTAAATAACAAGGTTTTAGTGAAGATGCACATGTTTGTGAAGTAGTGAGCATACAGCTGGATAAGTGAGAATTTGTTAACGCATGCTTTCATGTAGTTTTACCCCCATTCACTTCAATTCATCCAGACTTCTCCATTTCTGGATTCTTTGTTCACCGTGGAGGCATTAGGAAAAAACAAGGTTTCCTTCAACTATTCACAAGGTAACACAGGGAGAGTCACTGATATACAAATGATCATTTTGGGGTGAAGTGTTCCTTTAACAGCTCCTAGCAACCACTCCTGGGGTTAAGAGGAGAAGGTGTGTTTGTGTGATTTTGGTGAGCTATCCCATAATAATACAGACTACCAAAATGTTGTCATCTGCAATGACATACAGCAGGCATGATTTACACTTGTATCCAGCTTTTCCACATTGCTAATAAGCAGTGCTAACAAGTGTCTTACCGGGTTCTTCTTGTTCCATGCCATGCTGCTGACGCGGCGTCCTCTGCTGAGCTCACAGCTGAAAGCCCAGAGACGCTCCACAGCTGGAGACCGAGGGCTCTCTGCATCCTCCTCCCTCTGCTTCACCAGACTGTCTGGTTCTGACACAACCATTCAAAAAAAAAACCTGCAACTTCATTTCAATTGTCACATACATACAGATTTGACTTCTGGATTCAACCTATCCTCAGCATTGATGACATTATTACTCACCTCTTCATCCAAATAGTTCAATCTTATCCATTAATATCCATGAACACTTCATCTGACCTATATGTATGTATGTGTATTGTATCTGCTGTTGTGTGTCAGTGCTGCTGATGAGCTGACTTTACCTTCGGTCACGGGTAGCTGTCTGTAAGCAGCCAGCTTGGGTTGGAAAGTGTTTCCTAGAATGCTCCTCTCCATTACTAGCAAGCAGTGTTGGAATCTCTCTGACAGCATGATCAGCTGCAGGTCTGACTCAACAATTAAACCGCTCCCAAACGCTTCCACTTCTTTCATTGAGCTAGCAGCACTGGCTGAAGAGATATACAAGAAAGTGATACATGCAAGTTATTGCAGAGCTCTCCTAAATTCCACTCTCAAAACTATAAGACTTCATATGACTTGAGCTGTGAATCATCAAAGGAAGAATATAGGTGCTTTGTAATGATGTTGTGTCTGAATAACATCAAGAGGTCAAGAGGTTACTTAGAATGAAATTACACCAAGCAGCATCCTCCCCAGTCCTTCACTGGTACCTGTACTGGCCATGCTGCCCACTGACACACTCCCCTCTGCTCCTCTGCTGGTGTCCTCTCCAGCCTCGGGATAGTCAGCCCTCCCTACTTCCTGGCTGCACACCTCCTCACACTGCTCGGGGCTGATCAGAGTGTCATACATGTCCCAGGTGGTAACAGTCGTAGCTGTGGGCATGAAAACATGTTAAAGACTGTCCACCTGAAAAGACGAACACTATTAATAAAGATTAGTTCCATCGGACTAATCATCGCAATAATTACTTGATTAATCAACTAACAGAAAAAATAGATTTCGTCATTTCTCAAGAACTCTGGGTCCAGCTTCCCAAATGTGAATATTTTCAGATGTTTTACTTTTCTATGAGAGTAAATTGTGTGTGTTTTAGCATTTCACTGTATAGTGCTGACAGTCTATCTACTCAATATCTATTTATTATTAGCAGGGATTTCTCTCTATCCCATCCCTGTGGAGCGGACAAACCCGGACTCCTTAGTTGTTGTCCTCGGTGACCGCTTGTTGCAGAATTGAAAACTTTCTCAGCCTGTTGTTGAGGGGATCACAGCGGACCAGTGAAGCTGTGAGAGATTTTCAGGCGTGCTTGGACTGTACAGACGGTGATGTTTTACGCATCTGGGATGTTTGCTGCAGTCCATGGTTGGGAGTATAACCGAGGCCTGAGGACCACAGGACTTAACATCTTCTGTCTGACAGGAAGCAGCATGTGAAGCTGGGGAAACACGTCTCTGACCGTCATCGACTCGTTCCCTTTGTAAACCAAGTCACTAGTCCACACCTCTTTGATTTTAAAACTCTTTTGATTTCAAAAAACTTTGATCATTCACAATATTTCTTTCATACTTCTATTGTACTTTTTGGATTTTGGAGTTTTTTATTTTTATTTCAATTCTCTCAAGGCAAAAGCCTTGTATGTCAAAACCTGATTCTTATTTTAAATCCCCTTTCTGCCTTGTTTCCAACAACAGGTAGCCAGCTCCAAGGGAACATAACGAGCCTAACCTGAGTCCACCATCACTACGCTGTCGCTCTGGACCTGCTTGCTTTTAGCTGCTCCATTCAACGTCTGCAACGATCGATCCACATACTTATCGTTGCCCATTCTGTTTCTGCACAGCTCAGCATACTGATTGTTTCTCTCCCTGTGAAAACCCCTATTAAAACAAAATACGTCATGCTTGTACTCAACTCTACATTAATATCTGAAACTGTAAAGTATTTAGAAAATGACAATTTTATATTTTTCAATCACTGACCATAAGATCAAACCATCACACACTGTATTAGTACGTGTCACAGGACGGTTGCACGTGTCAATCACTGTCTCGTAAAGATTAAGAGTGGTGTGTCTTTCCTATGCGTATTGTGCTTAATACACATTACTTCACTCACATGATAGCTTCTGCATCATCAGCATTTACTGACATTAAGGTGCTCTGTATGTCCAGCAGTGAAACGCTGTCTGTCTCAGAGATGTAGACATCAGTGACCTCTCTCAACATTTCCTCTGTCACATGTTCCTTCACTGTGTCTCTTTTCCCCGGCACGTCTAATAAGGAACAAAAGACATGAAACAGAAACCACAGATAGCGCTGTGTCATCTGTGACCTTCAACCATATTCAGATGCTGTAGATGTAACTCTATTTATGTACATTTAGTTTTAATGAACTTATTGCCAACATTAAGAATGGAGCTAAAAAAATAGAATATAGCAATGAAAGCGAATTCATTTTGGAACCTGGGAAGTTGATGGGCAGGTCCCGTTTGGAAAATGTATCCTCAATCTCCTCATTCATGGACTCTATGGTAGACTGGCTGGATATTCTGCTGCTTCCTAATGTTGACCTGGAAAACAATGTCAGAGCACATCTTTACACGGGGACACTGTGGTAACACTCGGCCTAACGCAGGACACAAAGGACGTCACTGATCAAAGATAAAATGATTATTTTCCTGCCCAGCATCATCTTTTCTTATCAATAAATCATACATTGGACTATGTCTAAGCGATTTCATTGATTCCTTGTTTATCCATATTTAAATCGGCTGTCTATGGGAAATGGCATCATATGTCATATATTTTACAAAGTTGCTGGTGTTTTTTCTCATATTAGTCGTATCCACACACTCTCATGAACCTCAGATCAGCTCCAGCTGTTTGACCATCAGGTCAGAGATGTGTAAAAGAAGGAGCCCTGCACCTGGAGAAAGGCATGGTGAAGCTCCCGGTGGCTGCTGCCTGATCTGATGCTGATCCAGCAGAGATCTCATCCAGAAACATCCTGCTGGCTTTGGCCTGTGCCGCTGCTGGATCTGCCTGGTACAGTGGCTGAGGAGTGACGTCATTTTCTTCTTCATCAAACACCTGCAAACAGGACAACGATTAGCCACCAATAACACTGCTACTGCATTAGCCTGCTGCTAGAAGGCACTAAGATAGATCGGCCTACTTGTAGCCTGTAGGGAGGATATAAGTTACCCGAACAACTTGTCTGGGAGTTTGGAAGGCGCTCTTCTCCAGAACTTTGCTCCCACCACCCAGGCTGAAACTTCTTCTGCTTGGGCAACCGATGATGCTGTTTGTGTCTCTTGTACTTTGGCGGACTCCATGTATGCCTGATACTGAAATATTTATTGTTCGAGAAGAGCTAGGAGACAAAATAACAATGAGCATTTCAGTTAGCATGGCTTCACTTTGTTTCCCTAGCAGGAGACTGGGGTGGGTCTCATAATAGAATATTCTAACCAGCAGCAAATGAAAAGTTAAGGCCTCAGCTATAAATACATATGTTTAATGGACACAAACCTTTTCTAAAATTAGGAGATTGGTGATTATATTCAAGTTGTGCATTTGTGCTAACTAGTAGGTTGGCACAATGTTAAAATGGAATAATAGAAAAAACTCAATTTAATTTAAACAAGAGCCAGAAAACATGAACATTTAACAGAATATATCCCCATTTTTTAAAGCAAATATTTTAATCAATCTCTTTTGTCAACAGTTACAATATTGGACTCCAACCAACCACGCTCACAATTGACCCAGCTTTGTGATGAAGTTATGTGAGCCAGAAGACTTTCAAATGAACCTGATTCCTTTGTGTATTAACTAGAAGTCCCACGTACAACACCACAGTTTACACTTTCAATGGAACTGAAATGTTACCCTGACCAAAAAAGTTAGTGACTTCTCAATGTTTTAAAAGAGTAGATGTTCAAAAATACAAACATTTGATTTTCCATTTTTGTTTCTGTGACCTCCAGGACCAGAAAACAGCTGTATTCCAAACAACCCCGGTCTCCCTAATACACAGTGTGGAAAAAAGAAGTGCCAGTACTCCCGTTATTCACATATTGGCGTATGTAATGGCGTATAGTCGGCCTATAATAATATTCCAACTGAAACATTATAGGTGGTGGTGTGTTTACCCATAATGTGGACCATTATTATTATTATAGATGAGCAGTATAAAGCTTAAAAGCTTAAAGAGATTAACATCAAATCGTTAAATAATTATTATATTGTTTCCACATATTACAGCCTTCTGGACATTAAAGAAATGTTTGCCCTTTACAATCATATTATGTAAACCAAAAGTTCATGATGAGTACCGGTCCACTTCGAGGTCTGCTACTAAACACGTTGACAAAAAGAGAATAAAAGAGAACTTACGGCCTCAGAACAAGAGTACTTCTCTTCTTTCGTTCTTCTTTCGCAACGTCAGACATTATTGTAGCATTGTTGTATGCCTAAGTTGCTATAGCAACGTGACGCGCCGTCTCGTGAGAGTTGCGCTAATAATGGCTCCTATTTCATGAACAACTGTTGGAGATGGATGCTGCTCTATAAGATGAATAGATCGAGGCACTACAGTGCAGATCAGGTAGGGGCGTATATGCAAAGGATAAGGAACATTTCCATAAGAAGTTGAACTCAGGAATTTTGGACATTTTGCACAATTTAAATATAAAAACCATACAGGGGATCCCCAAAGTCCTTATGATCCATCCTATCTATAATCACACTAATACATGTGACTTCAGTTAAAGTAGCTACATTTTAGTTGAAAGGTTAACACCATCAAAGTCAGGTGTGTAAATCAACTGTATGTTTGGAACAATATATTATGCAGCAACAATAAAATCTGTGTATTTCTTCTTTTTTTTGATAGTTGTGATCAAAAATCAACAATTTGTCTCTCAAAAAAGAAAAGAAAAGAAACTGCCATATAATCTTCTAGCTTTCTTCAGAATGAAATTGTCGTTAGAAGGGAAATGATACTCTGTTATGAATATGATGTCATGATGTTAGAACCTAAGCTGCTCGCTGGCAGGTTTTCTTCACCGTACTGAGCTTCTCTCTGTCTCTTCCCTCTGACGGAGCCAGGCATTCTGTTTCCTCATTCATTCAGTCCGTAACGCACGTATCACACGCTGTTATTTAGAATGTAAATCCTGGTTGTTTACTATGTTATTCAGAAACATCTTGAGTTTTTGCTTTCATGTGTTGGCAGTCTTTTTCTTTTTGCCCTCAGGGTTTTTGACTTCAGGGTTAGTCTAGTCATAGTTCAGGGTTAGGCTCAGAGTTAAACCTGCTCTTTGAATCATACCCAGGGTATCTTTTTGTTATCTGATCGAACTAACGTAGGACAACTAAATTGTCCTACGAAGCTGCTTATCAACTCAGTGAATCAACCCGGGGTTCCTCCATCTGGCTGTGAGACGTTCACATAAAGGGGCGGTGTCTGCAGCGTATGACCAATCACAATCAAACAAGTCTGCTGTCTGCGGCATTTTCTACAAACCAAGAGAAAACTATAATATTAGACAAATACGTAAACACATAAATCAGGCTGAAAGATGACAAATGCAGGAAGGACAGCTGGCAAGAAATCGCCGACTGTGTGAATGTGTAAACTAACAGATTTATAATATCACTGCTTCATCTCGTGCCTATAATTACATGTGTGTATTCTTGTTAAGGTAATGTGGTGCTTAGATATATTCCTATTCTTTCAGCTGCAACACCGGCAGTGTGAAACACTTATATGATATAAAAATATAATTCAAAGTGGTAAGAAGGTTTCCTTCAATAAAATCACCCACATCATAAAAAACGTAACGCTGACATACTGTACATGAGTGAATATATGATTTGAATGTATGATAAGAGAGTATATATAGAATATAATATATAAGGATTATTTAAACTTGCTCTCCAGCTGAAAGAATATTAAATATTGTCACACACACCATCAGAATACATCTGCAACACATTCATTTAACAGATACATACGTAGATCTATCGTGCTCTATGAAGCAGTGAGATTATTAATCTGTTCATTTACACATTCACATAGTCGGTGATTTATTGCCAGCTGTCTTTTTTTACATGTGTCTGTTTAAACTGCGCTGCTTTTAGTCTGGATTATGATTTTAACTTCTGTGTATTTGTCTAATATGTTTCTACTTTTTGCACTGTGTTGATTGTTGTTGTTTGTTATGCATCACCCACCATGTCAAATTCCTTGTATGTGCTGATTCTGATATTATCTAACGATCGGTGAACAGAGCTCTGATTGGTCAGTAGTGCTTTTATACGAGTTGATCTCTAGAACATAACCTACTGTCCAGCATCAGTTACCATGGGGATCTACCCCATCTACCTGTATACATTGTTGGAGCAGCAGCCATCAAGGTGTTTTTTTAAACAGTGCACAGTTGTTTCTAGACATTTGACTGCTGAGATGCTGTGAGTCCTGAAGACACTGGAGGGAGTGAGGGTGTTGTGTTTGGTCGTCTCTCCTCCCTGCTGGGAGCAGCTGAGATACTGATTCATCTGTAATATTGGTGGAGTGCCCCTTTAATCTTTGGTTAACACCCTTTTATATTGACTACATGATAACTGTAGTGTCACACATGCATTAGATGAATGATGTAGTGTATTACAAGGCTTCAACATTGTGGACATAGTTACATCCTCTGAATGCCCTCGTCTCTGATTTGTGCTTGTTGGTTCCATGAGGCTGGGATTATCCCAGAAGTCACAGCTTTTTTACACAGCGATGTCAACTCAATAAAAAATGGTCTCTCTATTATATTGGAAGAGTCATTGGAAGAGTCTCAGCTTTTCAGTCAAATACAATTCATGCAATTCCACGACTCTTTAGGGATCCCAGTATGTAGACATCTTCAACAATACCATTTTAGAATACATGTTTTAGAATGCATGTTTTTTGCACAAAACTGCACGTGATCAACATAAAGTGTGCTTGTCTGTAAGGTTGAGACTTGGAGGTATCCATAGAATGAATCCCCTCTCATTCACATATCTAGAGGTGAGACGGGACCCTGAGGGAGTGTTATTCAGCCTCCTTCCAGACACGCTAGCATGACATGGTTGGTACCGATGGAGTCATCAGGTCGTCTAGTTTCTTGATAACTAAATCTTCAATCTAGCTCCAAAACTGAGTCAGCCTTCACAATACAGTATGTCAGCAGGGATCGCATGCACGGATCTCATATAAAGAAGCCCTTGGACACAATACAATGTGAGGTAGTCGGATGTAATGTAATAAAGTAGATGAACAGCCTATATGTGTTTTGCCTAATTATTTTATGTAAGTAAAAAAGAAAATTCTTTTAAGGAAAAAGTACTGTTTATTGTTTGTTACTTACCACTACATTGGTATAAATTCTTATTAGATCATGTGTATATATACAAAATTTAATTTTGCAGGGAAAAATCAAAACTCCTATGATGTCTGAACAGTCTTAGCACACCAAATCATAGCAGACTCAAAGCTAACATTTAAACATACATTAGCACTGTTCACATCTCAACATGCAGTTTATACACAGAAAGTGATTGTAACAAAGTGAGAATATGAAAAGAACATATGGAGTCAGACTGATTCGTCACATACAGAACTAATAATAATGAATTGTTGCATTGATGGATGGGAACCATCATCAAAGTCATTTATCCCACCTTTGCTTTTTCTTCTATTTCAATTCAAAATGCCTGCTGTAAAACAGGTCTGTGAATCTGACCCTTTAGAATAGAAACAACACTGCTCTGATACTAGCAAACTAACAACGTTTAGGTTAGAATGATTTATTCAGTCTGCAAAACAACATAAAGATAAAGATGGACAGATTCATAAAATAAATGATGCTTATCAAGCAAACAGGAGCTCTCTGTCAGCAGCAGGAAAGCTTTGTGAGAGGAACACGCACTCCCCCGCTGGCAGTGAGAGGAACTACATATTACAAAATTATGATTATTATTATTTTTATATATATAAA